GACAATGTTTTGGCACCTCCATTCCATTACTTCGTATTCCGTTAGTACCAATACCCACGGCTCGATAGAAGTACAATTGCAATCCAAAAAGCTCTATCTAGCAACATTTCGCAGAATGTACATTCCCGGTCTCTTTCTAGCCTGACTGAAGCGGAAACGCCTATGCTGCGGTGAATCCGAATTTTTAGTCAAACGGTTCAAACTTGATTCACGCCGTTTGAAGAAACAGATGGCGCAGCTACGGCAGCTGCAGAATTGGTCGGAACTTGAGGTATCGGAGAAGAAGAGTGTGACGGTGCAATCATGGCCGGGCCCTGCTGCGCACCCAACTCTGATTGATGGGGGAGAGTCGTCAGCGGTGGTTTGGCGGAGGAAGCTGCTGCAGCTTCTCCGGCATCCTTCATTTCGGCATCTTCCGCAGGTGGTGATTTTTCAATCTCGATCTCCGGATTGCTAGATGCATCTCCCTTGCCATATCGAAGTTGCACAACAAGGCTTTCTGGCTCCTCATTGCCGGTTGACTCATCTGCGCTTGCTTCTTCCTCTTCGTTGTCGCCTTCGAAATCGTGCTCCAAATCGTCTTCAACGCCTCGCCATTCGTTGCCGCTTTCATTCGCGCTTGAATGGACTTCAGATGCATCCTCCAAATCATCGGCGTCGTATCCAGAGTATCCGTTGGGGTGGGTCGAAGTCCGAGTCCTCTGCGGTCTGCTTACTTCTTCCTCATCTTCGTCGAACTCTTCGTCATCGGCTCCGCGTTGACCAATCAACAGAGCCTCACCATAGAGGCCACCGGCGCGAGATCGAATCTGCCTTCCGCTTGCCGTGAATCGAGGGCGTCTAGACTCTGTGAAAGCTTCCGTAGGAACCGCATTTCTAGTAGAACGACGAGCGGAAGGCTCATCATCAGAAAAGATGTCTTCGTCGTCCGAGTACGTGTATTTCAGTTTCTTGCCGCGTGTACGACCTTCATACATGGAGAACCCAGGATCCGGACGAACGAAGGCAGCCTTTCGCGCGAGACGATATTCGCGGCGTCTCCGTTTCTAGAAATTTATTAGCGAAAATCCAATACACCCTCGAGGTTGATAATCACCTCTTCTGATGCCTCAAATCGAGGGATCGAAGCGCGAATTCTCTCGCTAAGCTTCTTGGAGTTTGTGCCTTTTTCACCCTCAAGTTTCTCCACGACGGCCTCCAGCTCGGGAATACTCCCCGCGATGCTCCACCAAGTGTTGTGCTTGAGGGCCGGGTTACTTTCGCGATAGAGACGGAAATTTGTATCATCGTGCCCTTCGATAAGCCAATAACGACGTTTCAGGCTATCCCGCCCCCAAGGTTGGACAGACAATGGTTGGTTGAGATCATCATCGTGACGCGCCTGCTTGTAAGATTCTTTAATCTTCGCCTGCACCGCTTCGGACGACGAAAGTGACCATAGTATCAAGGCCCTCAATAAACGCAACTAAGATGAGACATGTCAGAATCGCAAATCGGGTGCTGGAAGGTCTTAAGAACATACACGTTCCACGGGGGACATGGTCGCAAAACTGCCACCCCCATGAAGGGGGTTTTTGCCTTCCCATTCTTTTGGCCACTGCGACTGATGTGTATGAATTGCTTCTTCGAGGGGACGGGTGAAGTGGTTTCGTCTGCATATTTCAGTGATTATATTAGCGCTAAACTTGACAACCGATAGCATGGGGGCGGAAAGCGCGCGTCTTTAAGCACTCCGCATGGTGTCGGACGGGTGGCGACCATACTCGACTTCCTTCTTGCGATTCAGAACAAGCCCAAGCAATGCGCATAGGAGCCTTTCGATGTATTCACCAGGGGGAGACTCCTCAATCCCCTTCTCAATATCCTGCGGGCCGTAGTGTGGCACTCCTTTGGGGAACACTTCATGGAAACGCGCGCGGAACGCGACGATGAACTAAAGATTGCGATAACTCAGCAAGGGTGTCCTATTGTTGGCCAAACGCGTCATATACAAGCCCGTAGATCAAGCAATGCGCAAAACTTTCCTGCGAGGTGAACTCACTGCAATATCCGGGTTGTCGGCCACAACGTATTCATGCGGAGGTGACGGTTCCCGCTTCGGTGGCGGCGTCTCAGATTCCTTCTTGAAGTACTTTGCGATACCAGTCGGGTGGTCAATCGCCATAGTAGCTTCGTCGTCCGTCGGAGGTGCCGACGATAATGATGAAAGTTCTGAATCTGAAGGCATGGTGGAGGTGATGGGGTAGGTGGTGAAGGAAGAAGTACGTTGCGCGCAATCGAGCGTCACGTCTGCACCGAGCTTGCGCCCGAAGGGCGATTATTTAAAGGATCCCAGACACAACTACTCCCTTTGTTCGTCATTTTTTTTTTACTGAGGCTTCTTACAGTTTTCTAGAAAAACATGATTCAAACAAATGAGATATTGGCATGACAGCGGCCTGGAATTTGCAAATTTCTGTATAGAGATAGAGCTTAAGAGAGCTGATGAGGACTGATGAAGCTCTATTTGGTATTTTCAAAATAGACACTCGGCTAAAGAGATGAGATGCAGTAGCCTAGTGAGAAATGGATGCGACTTATTGGGACGACTTTACATATCTCTTGCTTTCATACTAAAAGTACGCGACGAGCTCTGTCAACGCGTTTGATATTGACATCTATAATATTTGAGAGGCAATGATGGCCCAAGCCAGTTTAGGTCTCCTTTCATTGACAGTTTCATCACATCAAACGCATAGATAAAAGCATGGGAGTATACGGACACAGTTGTTTCGAGGTCTTAGGAAGAGAGTAACAATACAAAACGAGAAGTCTTGGCAATATTGGGTCTTGGCAATCACGTGTGTAGTGATGACATAACTTGCCCTCCCAAAATCTACAGGGCTTGCACTGAAAGAAGCTCTTCAGACATAAAATAAAGGTTATATGGATATTTTTGAGTGGATAGTACTTTCAAATACTTCATTCAATTTAGTAAAACAATAGTATCTATAAACACCATATAAACCCAAGGATTAAAGGCCCATTCTGGAAATGCCTGTGTTGCTGTAGTTCAAGCCAATTCAAGTAAGCGACCATGCGCTATACCCGATTGGGTTAGATTAGCGACCGCACCCTAAAGCCCACACAAGTCCCCGTGTCCGATGATTTCTCAACTCGTCAACGACAAGCCTATTTCACTTCGAGGTACGCTTACCACTTTCCCACGACACTTCTGTCCGGCTTCCATACTAACATAGGATCCTCGTCTAGACAGTCGCCATGGGTCGTGTCATCCGCAACCAGAGGAAGGGCCGTGGCTCCATTTTCAGTGAGTGCGACCGCAAATCATTCCAGCACGAAATTTCGAGGCTGCGCACCCCGAGCAGCGAGGAGGAAACCAAGGAGACCATTGGAAAACCACACAGATTCGCGAGGAGATTGGAGTGCTGATATCGAATTTTTCTCTACTTTACAGCGGCCAACACCCGCCTGAACAAGGCCCCTGCCCAATTCCGGACCCTCGATTTCGCTGAGGCTCACGGTTACACCCGTGGTGTCGTCAAGGAGATCATCCACGATGCCGGCCGTGGTGCTCCCCTCGCCAAGGTCCAGTTCCGCCACCCCTACAAGTTCAAGATGATCACCGAGACTTTCATCGCCAACGAGGGCATGTACACCGGCCAGTTCATCTACGCCGGTAAGAACGCTGGTCTGACCGTCGGCAACGTCCTTCCCCTCGCCTCTATGCCCGAGGGTACCGTCGTTACCAACGTCGAGGAGAAGGCTGGTGACCGTGGTGCGCTTGGCCGTACCTCCGGTAACTACGTTACCGTTATTGGCCACAACCCCGAGGATGGCAAGACCCGTGTCAAGCTCCCCTCCGGTGCCAAGAAGGTCATCAAGAACACCGCCCGCGGTATGGTTGGTATCGTCGCCGGTGGTGGCCGTACCGACAAGCCTTTGCTCAAGGCCGGTCGTGCCAAGCACAAGTTCGCCGTCAAGCGCAACTCTTGGCCCAAGACTCGTGGTGTTGCCATGAACCCCGTCGATCACGTAAGTTTCAGTCCATACACAGGCCAGATGACATCCAGGACTGCAATCCCTAACATCTCTCTCTACAGCCTCACGGTGGTGGTAACCACCAGCACATCGGTAAGGCCTCGACCATCTCCCGCTACGCTACCCAGGGTCAAAAGGCTGGTCTCATTGCCGCCCGCAGAACTGGTCTGCTCCGCGGTACCCAGAAGACCAAGGATTAAGGGTGCTTTTTCTTGGAGTTATTCTTGTGACGGGTTGAAAATGGAATTCTGCTATGAGACAAATGTACTTAGGCGCCTGCGGATGAGCGTCTCATGCGCCCTTAGCGAATTAAGGTTGTGGACACCATCCTTTTTCTTGTCGAACAAATTAAAGGGTGATGGAAAGAGGTCCGGGGTTGGCCTCTACAGGGCAGAAACGAAATCAAAAAGTCCTTCGGGCTGTGGAATGATACACCTTTAAATTTTTACTCGTTCCTGTCCATCACCCTAGTAGATATTACAGTCTGCCGTAATTCATCGGCATATGCATTACGCTGCATTATCGTTGTCGCCATGGCTTACGGTCGATGCCATGCAGCAGTGAAATGTAAAGCGTTCTTCGTCCCACGAATAGTTTCAAGGTCAGCTGCAAGATTGCGTAAAGACGTTATGAATGTATGCATTTGGTTCCTTCGATGTTGACCAGATGTATATACTAACTAGCACATATCTAAAAAGATCACCAAAAACATACGACAAGGCTGCATAAGCGGTCAACTATTCTTGTTATATATTCTACATCAATACTATCCTCATTGTTATGTGGTAATGCTACATAACAGCTGCACAATGGGAAGTTGACCGTATCGTACCAGCGAAGCAGACAGCGCAGACGCAGCGCAATACGGGGCCCATGATGAGATACACTCTATCTACTCCGCCACCCCCTTCGAATTGTAGATTTTACCTTTCCCTCTCCCCAGAGTCCCCTAGCTCTGTATGCTGGAGGAACATAGGAACATTCTCACCGTGTCATCACTGCTTGATGAACAGGCTATGAGCCACATACAGTCTCAACAGTCAGAGTTGCTAGACAAGATTGTCAATCTGCGCGCTACTGGGGTTGGAGGTCTCGTGGAACTGCCTCAAATCACCGTCTGTGGTAATCAGTCTAGTGAAAAAAAGCTCAGAGTACGCTTTCCAGCACTGATCCTTCGAACACGGGATTCAGCGACGATGTGCTTAGAGTCGAGATCTCAGGCCCTGATAAGCCAGAGCTGACTTTGGTCGACCTTCCGGGGCTCTACTACTCCAGCAGCAGCGAACAAAACGAGCAAGGAATGGATATTGTTCAAAGACTGACGGAAAAGTACATGAAAAGCTCCCGAGGCATCATTTTGGCTGTCATCAGTGCAAGGGCCAATTACCATATCCAGAAGGTCTTGAACATCGCGCAGTCTTTTGATGTCAGACACGAGAGGGTCTTGAGTATTGTCACGCAGCCCGATATCCCCGAAGCTGGTTCAGATGAAGGAGAAACTTATGTGCAGTTCATCAAGAACGAAAAAGTCGAAAGGGCTATTATGTCCCAATGTAGTCATTTGGCTCATCGGGACTATTACTTGGCTTTATATATCGAGATATATACAGCATTGTGGCTGATCTAAACTCTCTTTGGTTGTGCCTACAGAGAGGTTGAGTAACATCTAGATATTTGGACCTACCTTTCTCAAGAAGTCAACACTATTTCTTCTATCTATGGATATTATGTCTATGGCCCCTTCATCAGCTTCATGTCATTCTATTCTGAGGCCTATACGCCTTTTCTATGTACAAGTCGTTCGAGATATCCAATTAACCCCAGACCCTCCTTCCCTCAAACCAAGTCTCTTTGACCTTCGCCTGCAACAGCGCATTTGCCTCCCATTCCATATCAACAACAATGAAATCCGCCAATTTCCCAATGTCCAGGCTTCCTGTCCGCTCTTCCGCAAAAACACTGCGTGCTGCACCACCACTTGCAGCAACAATAGATTCACACATCCCTAGACGGAAATGCTCATTAACAACCTTAGTATATTCAAGGTTTCTAGACGACTTTCGCGTGGCAGCCACGTAAAGATTATTCATCGGCGCCCAAGGCGCGGTAGGACTATCAGTCCCAATCGCCATAAGAGCCCCAGCATCTGCGAATTCGCGGTATGCAAACGCCCTCTCACAACGTTCCTCCCCAATGAGACGTGGCCACTCAGTCAGAATAGAGGGATCAGCATGTACAGGCTGGATGGACGCTGTCAGACCGAGATCTCCTAGCCTCTTTGCATCCTCGGGAGATGCAAGTTCAATGTGTTCGATGCGGTGGCGTCTGCCTGGACTAGCGTGCTTCTCAATTGAATCAATGGCCATTTTGATTGCCCCATCTCCGATTGCATGGAGGGCTATTTGAAGGCCTGCACTGTCCGCTTCTTTGACAACGGAAGCTAAATGTTCTGCTTCCCAAATGGGTGGAGGCGAACCAATGGGTGCATATGGCTCAGACAGGAAAGCAGTGCACGCGTCGATAATTCCGTCGCAGATAACCTTAACACCGACAATCCGAAGATCGGGGCTGGTGCTGGAATTGTACTGTCCACTCAGTTCAATCGCACGCTGTACTTGTTTTGAGTTGGCTTCGTGGTCTGCCGTCGGTTTGATGAGCCAATATGCGGCAATGCGTATGGGGAGGTCTCTTTGCATTGAGCGGAGAGTAACAAGGCTATCCCATGCCTCTTCATCCATGGCCATCTCTATAATGCCGGTATATCCTGCCGCATTATATTCATGAATTGCTTGAAGAATCGACTGCATGCGCTCTTCTTTGGGTGATGACACCGCTTGAAATGGCCAGATAACTGACATCATAGCACCTTCATCCATGACACCTGAAGGCTTTCCCTCAGCATCCCGATGTATGCTACCGCCAGGGGGATCGGACATAGTTTCAGCACCGAGAACCTTCAGGGCGGCGGTGTTCATCCAGCACGAGTGCTGTGAACTTGCATCGATGAAGATAGGTCTCGGATCAATTTCGTCCAACATCGTGGCGGTCACACCATTCGGTGTCATGGAATGCATCCAATTTTTGCAAAGAATAGTCGGAATACGGGGATTGGCGACCGCGTACTGTTTTATGGTGGATCGGATTTCCTCCAAAGTCTTGCAGGTTCGGAGGTCGAGTTTGCGTAACGATTGGCCAAGAAGGAGAAGGTGCATGTGGCCATCGATAAAGCTTGGAAGGACGGTTTGCTGGTCGAGGTCTCGCTTTTGCACGTCGAATGAACATTCAGAGAGGACTTGCTGGAATTGTCCCATTGCTGCGATGATTCCATTCTTTACCAGCATGCTGTCTGCAAACACGGGCTCTCCATGCAGACCGGAGCCAGCCTGGGTGAGGATACGACCATTAAAGAAGATGGTGTCTTTATCCATATTTTCGAGATTTCGGGTTAAGCTGTACAGCTGGCTTGCTTAACAATAGATGAAGAAGCAGGAAATGCTCAAAAGCAAATAGGAATTATATACCTAGGGGATATATATAGGATAAGTTAGATTAAATATTTCGAGCAGGCATCTTATATAGTTAACATTCAACTATCAGTATGGTTCGACTATAGTCCCCTTTCCGGGCCGACGCTCTTGGCATACTGAGTCGGCTCGACCTGCCCTCACTATAAGTCCCGGCTCGACCTACCCTATCTCAACTTGTATATATCAAAAGATCGAGATAATTATCTTCATAGATAGAGTAACACGCTACTTAGGTGAAGTCATTCAGTAATGGGGTATGTGGAGCTCGGAGTTCAATTGCAGCTACCTAGGCATATCTGCGAGTTTGAGGCTGATAGAACGCCAAATTCATAAAGCAATATTATCTTCTGATGTTTGGCAACCGGGTATGTCATACTGAGCCTAGCATTGAGGCCATATATAAGCTATTATCTATGATCTTGGGTGTATTTGATGCACTGCTTTCTACCTGGGTCAACGGATAACTTGGCTGACGTGAGGCCCACAGTCAGGAGAGGCGGTAACCACTCTCGGATATTTCACCGGCCTCTTCCAATCCACACGAGAACGCTCTGCCATAACTATTAGTCCAAATGAGCGCCATATCGATTGGTTGTTGGACTTGTCGCGTACGCCACAAAAAATGCGACATAACAATACCATCCTGCAGGGAATGCAGTGAGCGAAATGTCCCTTGCCATGGGTATGGACCAAAGCCAACATGGATGGATGGAGCATCGGAGGAAAAGAAAGAAAGAGCCCGAATCAAAACCGCGATCAACCAACATGTCCGGCGAGTTCGAAAAATGCAGAATCGCACCAGGATGGCATCGCTGCCTCAGACATCTAACGAAACACAACCTTCCTCAAATTCGGATGTTAATGCTTCGGCTGCTTTTGAAACAGAAGATGGCTTGAATCTTCTGCCAAGTGCTTCATTGGAAATTCTTGATCGGCCTTCTAGCCAAGATGGCATTTTCGATCCCCAGGCTGCGTCCCTATTAATGCATTACTTCGATCAGGTCTTCGCATGGCAATTTCCTTATTTCCGCTCTACGTCCCGACTAGGAAATCGGGGCTGGCTCTTGTATCTTCTTATGAAGCGGGGACCTCTCTACCATGCTGTCTTGAGCCTTTCATCGCTTCACCAAAGTGCAATTCTTGGGAGTGAGGAGGAATATCAACAAAAAGAAAGGGCACTAGAGCATCACTCCAGGGCACTCCGTGAGTTCTGCAAATTCATGGGCGAGGAACGTGGGAAATTGCTGGACGATAATGCCCGGCTGGCCGAGTTCCTGGCATGTAGTTTGATTTTGATTAGCTGTGAGGTAGGTAGGGACCTAGCCATCTTTCGGCTATCTTACATCTAATGAGGAATCTAGGTTTTTAGAGGCGCTGAACACAACTGGCTACTGCATCTGGATGCTGTCATATGTGTCATACACTCGCTATCGCCTAAGACTGTATTCGATGCTCGCTACACATCTCAAACAGTGTCTCCTATTTCATCTCAAGATCATCCACAGAAGGGCCTTGAGTTCCTCCTTGCTACAATGGTTTCACTTGATCTTTTCGCCTGTCTCCCGACAGGACGTATACCACGACTTCCGTATCAGCAATGGCTCTATACCCCTGAGATACAAATCGCAGATCTATTAAGTTGCGAAAACTGGGTTATGATCATCATCGGAGATTTAGCCTGCTTCGGTGAATGGAAGGAAGTGCAAGAAAAAGAGGGGATACTCAACATTAGTGAACTAGCCAGGAGAGGAGCAGAGATCAAAGACCGTTTGACCACGGGCATTGAGAGGCTTGATCTAACCAGAGATGTAAGTATCAGCCATTACCACATCTCGAAATGTATTAATGTTGAATGTCCAGAAACAAGAAAATCAGGAATCACAAACTGGCTGGGTGACACTCCTGTTCGCCCTTGCTTGTCTGGTTCTACTGCACACAATCGTTTCTGGGCCACTTCCCTCACTACCGGAGATTCAAAGCGCGGTTTCTAGAAGCATTATTGCGCTCCAGAATAGACCAAGAGCTTACTCTCTCACTGGCTTGGTGTGGGCACTGTGTGTGTTGGGATGTATGGCGCAGCCGCATAATCAGCCTTTGTTCGAGAATCTAATAGCCGACGTGGTGCGTGATTCTGCGAGATTTGGTAATTGTGGAACGGTGTTGAAGATAATGAGAAATTGTTGGAAAATGCAGGAAACGGGGCGCGCAGATTGTAGGATCACCATGTCTAAGATGGGTATATGTGCGATATTAATATAGTCTTCTCTGGTCGACAATGTTAACTTCTCGCTTTTCTTCAGAAGCAGTTGAGTTTATCTGGTGATAGTCTAATGGTCTAACCATCACGAAGAAGAGACAGCTTGCCAAGTCCCACCGTTTGTTTGGATTGTTTGCAGTTCTGCGGAATGTCTATTCCCAGCTTGGCAACACTTTAAATTCAGCGGGGCCTCTACTTATCACCTCCTTATGTTCCAAGACTGTCGAGACATAGATCACGATAGCCTTGTGGCATACATACATACACTTTAAAAGTTTAACGAGAGGATAGTGAATAGCCATTGAATATTTAGGGTCGAGAATGTCTTAATGAAGAGCTCGAAAAGCTCCCAAAAGAAAGACAGGCTCTCAATGCCTTCGGTATATCGCACTCTCCTGGGGCTATTCTAGCTTAGGAACAAATGAATACTCTATAAAATTCATGGTTCTTTTCACTTGTTGGTGGGAGAGGATATGTATAGTGAGGCTAGGGTTGCACTATATATATATGTGAATCAACGTATCGAGTAGAGATTAGACAAGTAATATAATCTTGAAGGAAATTGGAAATCTAGCGATTAATTTTAGTATACCAGGGAAATTATTTAACCCTGTATGTAGATACTGCACATAGAAGTGATGGCTCTGATGTACTTCATTTGAGGCATTGGGGAGCCAGTCTGGATGTTGATTGGTCAGTTTGGGATCAACCATCAGATTTGCCGAGGCTCCCCTCTACTTGGATTTCGACGCCACAGTGAATGCAATACCTTGAAGATATCTACAATTTGAACACCCCGTGAACATGACAGATTCATCTAAGCCTCAAGAGATCCCCCGACTCAGCCGGAACTTCACCGACACAGAACGGTGGCAAGCCATCGCCACCCGCGACGTAACAGCCAACAGCTTCGTCTACGCCGTTCTTACCACAAAAATCTACTGCCGTCCCTCATGCCCAGCACGACTAGCCCGCCGTGCCAATGTCCAATTCTACGACACTCCTCTGCAAGCAGAAAAAGCAGGCTTCCGACCCTGCAAGCGCTGCCGGCCGCATTCGGGTCAGTCGGCGGCTCAAAGCAACCCCCAAACCGCCACGATTGACAAAGCATGCGAGTCAATTAGGAACATTCTGACGACAGGGCTGAAACCAAAATTAAGAGATCTGGCGGCGGAGGCTGGCTTGACATCCAGTCATTTCCATCGTGTGTTTAAGAAACATGTGGGCGTTACGCCTGGTCAATATGCAGAGAGCCTTGCGCAGAGCAACCTGCATTCACCGGAATCATCGCTACCCGATGGGTTGACTGGAATTGAAACACCGCGCTCAGCCTCTGGGGATAAAGGTGGTCAGATCTTGGATCTAGATTGGGATGGCGAGAAAGGGGCTGGTCTGTCGGCGGTTGGGGGTGAAATCCCATTTATGAGTGGCTGGAATGAGTTCGATGTGCTGCTGGCTTCTGAATTGGCATCTGAATCGGAACAAACGTGGATGCCTGGTTTATCTATAGACCCTCGAATGATTTTGGGGTGATGTTTCTGATGGGACCACATGATTTACGATGTGGATACTCCATATTTGGACTGAAGAATAAGTAATGTATATTTATTTTCTACCAATAATATAGGCTAATATGAACTGGAATGATGGGAATCACAGGGGTTTGTGCCGCTTTAGATTTGATTGGCCTTGACATTGCGGCGATGCAACCCACTGGTCTTGGATCTTAATCTACTCCGTATTCGTATGTAAATGGCCCAGAGTCCAGAGCCCAGAGTGGCCACGGATCAACTGAAACACATCTGAAACCCCGTTTTTCTAAGCGATTACTCCTATGCATCAATATTTTGTATATTATTGTATGGTAATAGGATAATGCGTGTTTTACGGATTATATGAACTCATAAATATTCTAGACTGGAGGGTGGCAAGAAGATAATTATAGTAGTCCGATCAACAGAATTAATTGAAGCTTCCAATGGGATTTAGTCCCCACCAGGTCCCACTAACGCGTGTCACAGTTCTAACCGGGGTGTTCCTGGTCTCAGGCTATTCTGGTAATTTGCTTCGTACGAAATACAACTCTTCAAGAGCCTATTGTACTGTATGCATAATTTTGGGGAGGGGGGGGGTTTTTTTTTTGTTTTTTGTTTACTTTTCTTTTTCTGACTGGTAATAATACAAGACTGAGAATATTGAGAATATAATGGCTTCCCCACTGATTGACCAAGATCGGCGATACTGCATGCATAAAACGCATTGTATTTTCTTAACTTTGTGAGATACCCAGCCTATTTACTCCGTACCCTATTTCACTATTTTCCCTATTTTATCATAATTGCGTGCCCCCCCCAATGATTTAATCTAACCGTTCCCAACCTCCTTTCCCCTTTCCTCCCCCCCCCCAGTCTTTTCTCTTTACTCTTATCCTAGAGCATTCTAGTTGAACATTCCCTTCTAATTGTCTTCCAACTCTACACAATCGCTGGTTTCGATTATCTTTCCACATACTATTAGCATCCCAACCTCACAATATGCACGTGAATAAGAGAATTGGCCGTTTCAAACAATGGGCTGGAGAACGTATGGGCGGAGAGGCCAAGACCTGTCTCTCTGATGATTTCAAGGCAATGGAGACGGAGATGGGCGTGCGACATGAAGGTGAGATGGGACCACCCTCCGCACCTGCAGTTTATCTATACTGACCCACGCTATCTCTCTCTAGGCGTTGACCGCATTCATAAATCCATGACCTCTTATGTCAAAGCTATCTCGAAGCGCAATGAGGGAGATGACAAAGAGAAGACCCTACCGATTGCCCATTTGGGAAGTAGCATGGTGGCCCATGGCGAAGACTTCGACGGGAACTCAGAATACGGACAGTGCCTGATCAGTAAGTCCTGAACATGATATTAGGAATGCGGGGTAGGAATTGCATTGCTGACAATTCGATCAGCATTTGGGCGCACCGAGGAGCGCATTGCGCGCATCCAAGAAAGCTACATCGCGCAGGCGACTTCAAGCTGGCTTGAGTCCCTGGAGAGATCCCTGACTCAGATGAAAGACTTGCAGGTATGCCACTCGACTCTCGCGATCAATTGAAGGTTGAAGGTCACGTATTAACCTACTTATAGCATGCTCGCAAGAAGCTCGACAGCCGACGGTTGGCATACGACACCTCTCTCTCTAAGATGGAGAAGGCTAAGAAGGAAGACTTCCGCGTGGAGGAGGAACTACGCTCTCAAAAAGTGAAGTACGAGGAAGCTAGCGACGACGTGCTGCGTCGTATGCAGGACATCAAAGAAGCCGAAACCGACAATGTTATGGACATGGGGGCGTTTTTGGACGCCCAGCTTGAATACCATGAACGGTCCCGTGAGGCCCTTGTGCAGCTTAAGAATGAATGGGCAGGGTAAGCATCGATCCTTGCCGCATCTCGTGTGGTGATATTAACACGGAAATAGGTACAGCCAAGTACAGGCCCCTCCACGTCGTCCGACCCGTCCTCGTGCCAACACTGCCCACTCGTACCAGGAACGTTACGAGCCATTGCAGGAAGAGTTGATGAATGCCACCGACACTCGCCCTCCCATCCGATCAAACAGATCTATTACCCCATACGCCGAGTCACCCCCGCGGGAGACCTATGGCAATACCAGTGGGGCTTCACGCCCCGTTCTCAGCAGAGTCCCCACCTTTGAAGGCCCAGCTCAACTGCGACAAGAACAATTGCCAGTTGCATCACAGTGGATCCAACAGCGGACTGCCAGCGAGAATCTGGGTGGGTTTGGACGTCGAAGCAGCACCCAAGTTGGAAGTGGTCGACTTTCCGCTGATCCTTACGCCGACTCCGAAGAGGTCAGCTCATATGGCCGTTCTAGCCCCGAGCGGATGTTTAGCGGGGGCAGGTCTATATCCCCAGCAACATCTCACGGAAGCGTGCCATCCCGGAGACCCAGCGCAACCAACTTGAACACTATGGGATCGAAAAAGGCTCCTCCTCCACCTCCACCATCTCGTGCGAAGAAGCCCCCTCCACCTCCACCCGTGAAGCGGTCCCTTCTTGCGGCACCGAATGCGTAAGGGAACGTCCTAAAATTGCATATTACGTGTGTCCTTGATCTTGAGCATGGGGTTTTGGAGTTTGGGAGCTTATGATCGGTCATGGCGGTGGTATCTATTCTTATCAATCCATCAGCAATCCCCTGGGACTTACATGGGGCTGTTCTGTCCTTTCCTTGATTGTTCTTTCTGCTTTAATTTGCTTTTCCATGTTGGGTTGATTCCCATGGAGGTCTGGAGGATTCCCCGGCTACTATTAGTCTCAATGCAGAGTTATTAGGATGATGAGAAACATAGATACGTAAGTTATTTGAATTCTTGAGTGTAATTATGGTATGATCTGCAATCGCGTAGATACCCGTTAACCAGTTGAGGGTGGATCCAGGTCAGTCTTAACTTTATAATGTATTGTCAATTTGTATTGTTATTGCAAGGAAGACAATTCAGTAGATTCAATAGGTTCGATGAATTTGAATAGAACCAAGAGGCTACAACCCCCCTAAATCAAATCACTCTTCTCTCACCCCTACCTGATAATAGCCTTATCCCAAACCGGTACGGTACCAGAACTGCGCTGCCCCAGGCCACAATCCAGCACGGGCCACTCACGTGTCTGCTGACTAACGTGCTTTGCAAAAAACTCCTTGCCAGGCTGTTGTCAGTCCTTTGCTCTGAGCACCCAGATTTCCCCGAGCCTGTCGCGCAACTCCGTTCCCTCCCCATCTCCATTTTCATCCATCCACTTTTTGAACGCGCCATCCCAACGCGCCTTCAACTTTTGAGTTCCCCTCCCACCTTGCCTTACCCTGGGAACTCGCCTCTTTACTCGCTTTCTTTGACTCCCTTGTCCCTGAAAGTACCCGCTCTCCCTCATCGCATCGGAAGCTCCGACCACGGCCCCAAACATCACGCTTTCCATCGCCAAGCATCCCGTACAGTCGCCCACTGATCGCATTCACAATAAGCAGGCTCACCCCACACCGTCCCTGCCTATTTATTTCGACCGCGACCGTCCCTTCTCTTGCCCGCGCGACTTGGCAATTGAACCTAGGTGGAGAACGTGACTTTCCACAGCTCCGCATCGACCTTGACATTGCCCAACCCAACCTCCCTGGCTTGCTCATGAATTAAAAACAAAATTAGACGCGTCACAATGGCTTCCTTACACCCAGCGCCCAACATGGCGCCTGGCAACGTGAGCCTGCCGGCTAATCTCACGCAGCAAAATGTCCAAGAGATACTCCAGGTAAGTTTGTCGCATTACAACAGCACAACTCGCCTTTTATCAATTATTCAGTCCCTTGACGCGCCTTACTATGCCTGGCTTGCCCTTGCTGTCGTATCTAACTTCGTCGCAGAAATACAAGCAGATGCAAGAACAAGGTGTTCGGCCCGATGACCCGGAGTTCCTCAAGGCCCACAACCTTCTTGCTGCCATCCAACGGCAACAGGCTTTTCAAAAACAACAACGCATGGCTCAGCAGCAGGCTCAACAGCAGCGCCAACAGCAACAGATGAACGGCGCTACCCCCGAAGCTGCCAATGGCTCTCATGGTAAGCTTTGTCCTTGACTCTCCTGGTCCCCCTCCAAAGGTCTTCTACAGGGCTGACCCAAGATCTCACAGGTCGCACACCCTCGGCTTCCTCGACTGCCGCACCTGCTGCCATCAATGCATCGGCAGTTGCTCTGAACCAGAAGACTGCGACGGTTGGCAGCGGTAGCTTTTCACCAGAGCAATTGGCTACTCTTCGAAACCAAATCTTGGCTTTCAAGATGTTATCCAAGAACCTCGCTATTCCCCCTCGTGTTCAAGAACAGCTTTTCCAAAACCAGAAGAAGTCGCAACCACCTACTCCCACAGACAATGTTGCCGCAGCCGAAAAGGTCATTGAAGCTGCTAATGACGGCCCTGCTAGCCAGCCCTCAGAAAGCTCAGATGCCGAAGTCATGACCAGAGAGTGGTATGACAACTTCCAGTCTCCATATGACTCGTTGTCCAAGACTATCAGCTACACTGATCACGCCAACCGCGCGAATCGTGTGCGCATCCCCGCTCTCTTGCCGCCTGGCATCGACTTGGAGCAGATGCGCGAAGATCGTGAGATCATACTGTATAATAAAATCACTGCGCGCAAAGCAGAGCTTGCCCAACTTCCCGCCAACCTCGGTGTATGGGATACCAGCAAGACTGACGCACCAACCTATGATGACTCCCTCAAGCTCAAGGCCCTGATTGAGTACAAATCACTTAATCTTTTGCCCAAACAGCGACAGTACCGCAAGCAGCTCCAGAGCGAGATGTTCCACTACAGTAACCTCGGAATGACAGCAAATCGCTCGAGTCACCGCCGCATGAAGAAGCAGTCACTGCGTGAGGCTCGTATCACCGAGAAGCTTGAGAAGCAACAACGTGATGCTCGCGAATCTCGAGAGAAGAAGAAGCAGTACGATCAGCTGCAGGCCATTCTCA